CTGCCGTCTCCTCCTGCGTCTTCTCTGCCTGTCGTTGCGGACCCCGAGTCTGACCGGTTTCGTGCTGAGCACCCTACTGTCACGCGTCTGCTAGCCACTGTTGTCACTGACCCGTCGTTTGAGTCTGCTGCTGCGTCTGCCTTAGTCGCTGAGCTTGTTGACTTTGCTGCTGCCTGTCGTCTAGACTACGCCGCTAGTCTTGTTGCTGAGTCTGAGTCTGTCTGTCCTCCGTCCGTCGGGGGTGAGTGTGCTCTTGGCACGGACGTCCTTGAAGACAGGCAGGAGGACCTTGAGTGTCTTGCAGCCGCTGCGCCTCATCTCGTGTCCATGCTGCTTGCCCCTGAGGGAGACCCGGATGCTCCTGACATCCCGACCCCGCGCTCTTACGCTGAGGCGATCGCGGGTGAGTACTCCTCTCAGTGGCAGACAGCCATGGACGCAGAGCTGGCATCACGGAAGTCCACAGGCACCTACGTCGACGAGGTTCCCCCTCCTGAGGCGAACATCGTCAGTGGCATGTGGATTTTCAGGGTAAAGCGGTCGCCAGGTTCTCCGCATGCCTTCAAGGCTCGTTACGTTGCTCGATGTTTTAGTCAGCGAGAGGGAGTTGACTTCTTCCAGACCTTCTCCCCCACCCCGAAGATGACCACTCTTCGGGTGCTGCTGCACGTTGCCGCTCAGCGTGACTACGAGCTTCACTCTCTTGACTTCAGCACAGCTTTCTTACAGGGCAGCCTGCACGAGGAGATCTGGCTGCGCCGCCCACCTGGCTTCACTGGGTCGTTCCCTCCTGGTACCCAGTGGAGCCTCCGGCGGCCGGTCTACGGTCTCCGCCAGGCGCCGCGTGAGTAGCACGACACACTGAGGACGACACTTGCGGCTCTTGGGTTTTCTCCGTCGACTGCTGACCCGTCGCTGTTTCTGCGCACCGACACTTCGTTGCCGCCGTTCTACATCCTCGTGTACGTCGACGACTTGGTCTTTGCCACTGCTGACACTGAGGCTCTCGCCCTGGTGAAGTCAGAGCTGCAGAAGAGACACACGTGTACAGACCTGGGTGAGCTGCGCAGTTACCTTGGCTTGCAGATCACCCGGGACAGAGCACGCCGCACCATCACACTGACTCAGTCACACATGGTGCAGCATGTCCTTCAGCGCTTCGGCTTCACCTGGTCCTCGGCACAGGCCACTCCTCTGGCTACAGGTCACTCGCTCTCAGCTCCACCTTCGGACGAGTCAGTTGAGCCGAGTGGTCCTTACCCAGAGCTAGTGGGCTGCCTCATGTACCTGATGACCTGCACTCGTCCTGACCTTGCGTACCCTCTTGGCCTTCTGGCTCGCTACGTGGCTCCTGGTCGGCACCGAAAGGTGCACATGGATGCTGCTAAGAGGGTACTGCGCTACTTGTGCAGTACATCGGGCATGGGGCTCGTGCTTGGAGGACGGAGCGACGTTGTCCTCACTGGGCACTCAGACGCTTCTTGGGTTGACGACCAGGCTACGCAGCGGTCGTCACAGGGTTACACCTTTAGCCTTGGCTCTGGTTCGGTTTCTTGGCGTTCTACACGCTCGTCTTCAGTTCTCAGCTCCAGTTGTGAGGCTGAGATCTACGCCACAGCCATGGGTGCACAGGAGTTACGCTGGCTCACCTACCTGCTAACGACTTGGGAGAGCGGCCTCGTTCTCCTCCAGTGCTGTACGTCGACAACAAAGCCGCCATTGCCTTGTGTCAGGAGCACAGACTAGAGCACAGAACGAAGCACATCGCTCTGCGTTACTTCCTGGCTCGAGAGTTGCAGCAGCGTGGTCAGCTTCGTCTTGCTCACGTGGCCACTCGGGCCAACACTGCTGATATATTCACCAAGGCGCTTCCGTCTGGTGATCATCAGCGTTTCTGCACTCTGTTAGGCCTTGTGCCCACGTTTCCTCACTTGTTGTAGACTTTGCTTGTACTGTGATCTATATATATACCCGCATGCTTGATCTGCTAGGTAGAGATCACTGTGTTGTTGTTGTTGCATATATACCCTGCTTGTGAACTGGCCTTGTGGCCCTTTGCTTGTGCTCAGTGTGTGTGGTGACGTTGTGATCCACCCTGAGCTTGCTTTGCTTCTCTTGACTGGTCTTGTGACCCCTTGCTCTCCCCCACTTTGCCTATGGGGGTGTGTCAAAGTATATGCATGTTATATATGTGTAGGCTGTAGTGGGGTAGCCAATATGGGGTACAGCCCCTTTTAGGGTTTCATATTTGTACCCAATACTTTCATAGTTCAATCATTCCTGCTGCTAGATTCTGACAGCTTGTCGTACTTCGTCCCGTGTGTTGGGTATGGCAGGGATCCGTCGAAGAATCCGAGAATCCGCGTGCCTTCCATCATCAGCTCAAACTCGAATGACCAGGTATAAAAGTCCTTTCCGTCAAAGGGTGTTGATGTCTGCAGTTTCAGAACGTGTGCGAACTGCGATTGAACTTGAAGCGCGCCCAGTGTCTTCTCTTGTCCAGGTGAAGGCTGCTGGTGTGGCGTGAAGCTGATAGAGCAGCGTTGAGGCTCGTACGGAGCGAAGGTAGGTTGCTGTTGATTTCCGCGCGCATAGGATGAGCCGTCAAGGCTCATTGGAGTAACGCCATTGTTGTTGTCGCTGTTGTTTGATTGCGCAGGCTCTGTTTGCTGGTGCTGCTCGTAGAAGGACATGAAGGAGAAGAATTTCTCCATCATGTTTGGGTCAAAACCCGATGCCTGCTTCGCAGGAGTTTCAGTAGACTCAGCAGCTGGTCTTGTTGTTGTGCCTCCTTCTGTCTGTAGACCAGAGGTTGGAGGTGGAGTAGGAGTGGTACCGGGAGAACCATTAGAGGAGCTTCTCTCCTTTTGTGTTGCCATGTCTTCTGATGTCGTAGGAGTTTAAACGAAGTTGAATCTTGCCTTGTTAGCTCTCATACCATGTTGGGCTGAGAAAAGCCCTTAGGATCTTTCAAGGCTAAGACTCTGATAGAGATGTTGTATTGCGGAAGCGTTTAATCATAAGTTGTTGAACCACCTTGCACTAGTATGTGAGAACAAGATAGATTAATTATAAAGAGGTAATACAAGGTTTTATAAGATTACGAGGAATATGAAAGGATGCAATAACCGTTTTGCTTGTTGCTGTTGCGGTTCGATACAGTGACGACTCGGGCAACTGCTCTATATTGAGTCAGTTGTTTGTCCTTGCTGTCGCGCTGTATTTGTCGAGTCAAAGGTCGCAGACCTTTGACCTTCGCGTAACCTCCAGCTGTTACTTTTCTGTCAACCTCCTCGGTTGATTTGCCATTGCTCCGCTGTAGTTTGCCTCGTTTACGGTTCGATGTTACGACACATAGGAAGCGTTAAGTTACTTGTTTCCAACACAGTCCACCTGAAGGTAGTAATGCCGTTTTTAAGTTAAGGTTACATTGTCTCCATTGAATAAGTTGCTTTGTTATACTGTTTCGTGTAACACAGCTACTCCTAGTGTATATCGCAGAGATGTTTCTTGAGCACAAGGGTGATTCACTGTTCTTATAGTGAATACCTCGATAAGGTGCAGTAACCCCCTGGCACACGCCAGCGTCTCATCGCGCCACGTGCCAACAGGGGCTCACCTTTTTGCTGATTTGGCGTCGCGTCACGAACATTCCGCGGCGCATCTCTCGAGGTCGCTGTTCCTCGCAATCACACAAACGGCGTCAGCAAACGAGGAAGCTGCAATTCGCCCTGGACCGGACCGGAGGTGTTCGGTTTGGAGTGCTGCGCTGCTCGTGGCTCTCGAGTAACGGAAGCGTCAGCATGTGAGGGGAAAGAAGCGCCAGCTGCGCACCAACCGCAACACCCGAGGTCGTTTCCGCTAATCAGGCCACCTTGATTTCGCGGTCGCCAAATCAACGCGCCGAGCCAATGCGATGGTGAGGGGAATCTGCGACAGCAGCGATGGGGGTGTCGCCGCCAGCAGCTGTGATTTGCAGTCAGCCGTTCATGCGTCCATCTGTTTGACATCGATGGCTCTCGTCCATCCATCATCCCCACATCCCGCCAGATTTTGCGACCAGCTGTCGCATGCACTCCCATGGCCGTTTCGCCCTTGGGTTCCTCGACACACAACCGCCACAAACTGCAATTAACGAAGACAGTAACCGCTCATCCTTGTCACGCGCCCCACTCTTCCTCTTCGCTCACACGTCGCAATTCTTCGCTTTCACCCGTGCAACAGCTGGTGCGTAGGCTCAGCTTCTCCGCGGCTTGGAATGTGCGCATTCGTTCCCCTCGCTTCTGTGTGGGTCCCTCTCTCCCCTTGATTCCTCTCCTCCCACCCTCCCTTACCTATTTTATGGCCATGTGGAATTCTGTATCTTACCTAAACTGCGAAGTCTTTCCCGATCTTGTGTAATCTCGCTTCAGGGCCTCCATCTCTTGCGAATGCGACTTGGTTCTTGATTTTCTGATTAGATTGTTGATCAATCAACACCAAGAGATAGGAGAGTAGAAGGGATTAGAATCTCTCCACCTTTTAACACTTGTCGTTATAGCGACCAGAGCACATTGGTAGTGCATGATTGACCGCAGTGTTACGTAATTCGCAAACAATTTACTTGAACCACCTTTAAATACCGTGTAAGAGCTAGATAAGTCGCGTGTTACATCCATCGATCCAAGTCCTTGTAACGCTAACCGGCCATGCGTCTTCTCCAGCGATCGCTCGAGCGTTCGCCCACGAGGGTGCGAATGGAGATCCGACGGTCAGACGCCCAAATTAACGGAAATAGCGCGCAGCCGTCTGGGAAACCCCGACGCTCGAATGCGAAGCTGCTTTACGCTCAATCGGGACGCTCGGCGTCGCCGTCGCGCGGAGCCGCTCCGACAACAACAACGTCAACGTCATCATTTACTTCTGATACTCGCACTATCGCTGACGGATCAGCTCCAACTTCCCCCAATTTGACAGTATCCATGCCACCAATTAGAATCTCTCACTCCAAAGAGAATTCAATGATTTCTAACCGAGCCACCACGCAGCAGCAGCCAACGAATGTGGCGAACGATTTAGCGACAGCTCCTTCCGAGCCTGCTTTCAAGCTTCGGGGATCAGAGTCGGTTGGTGATACCCGGGCCGCGTCTGGTGACGGAAGCGAGGCGATTAAAGACCTATCGGGTCCGCCGGTCCTGTGCTGGGAGCGCGTGGGCGGATCCACTAAGGCGTATGTGGCGAATGAGGGGGGCGGGGGAGGGGATGGCGCGGAGGGGGGCGGGGAAGGGGCGCAATGGGCGGCGGAGAAAGCCGTTCTTTATCCAGGACGTGGGGGAGCGCGCAGACGCGGTTATGGTGAGTGCGCTGCGCTGTGGCGAATGCTCGGATCTTTGCGCTGATCATTCGGGCGCTAGTTAGAACCCAATGTCGCAAAAAAGGAAGTTCTTCCCAAAACCCCCGCCCGCTCCCCCTTCCCCATGTTCACCTTCCCATGCCCCTCTCTCTTCTCCGCCCATTTTGTTCTTCAGGAGTTGACTTGACCGACTTTTTCAAAAATTCCTCATCTCATCCCCATCGCTCCCCCTCAACCCCCCCCCTCCCCCCCGTTCATCTCCCCTATCTCTTCCCCCACTAATTTTGGTCTCCAGGAGCTGACCGACTTTTTCAAGACGAATTTTCTGCCCGAAGGGTTTCCGGACAGCGTGGCTCCGTCGTTCGTGCCGTACATGCGGTGGCGCGCCTTGCAGGTGACTATAGAGGGGGGGGCACTTGCAGGTATATTATAAAGGGAGGGTAGTTATAAGTGTTTCCTTCACCATTCCTTCCGCTCCGAGCATTTTTATGCAGCCCATGCGCATTTTCGCCATTCGTTCTCTCCTCCCCACACCCCCTCCCTCCCCACACTTCCTCTCTCCCAACATTATCCCCCTTCCGCCACTCCCTTCCCACACTCCGTCCCGTCTCCATCCCCCTTCCATTTCCCTCATCTCCCTCGTTCCCGCATTTTATTTACAGTTCCCTCCCTTCCCACTCTCCCTCCCTTCCCACTCTCCCTCCCTTCCCACTCTCCCTCCCTACCCACTTTCCCTCCCTTCGCCTCGCGCCGTCAGTATTTCTTTGGCGGCGCGATGGGCGTCTTCACCACGCGCTCGCTGCTGCACGCCTTGGGGGTATCGCGCGGCGCGGGCGGCGGCGGCGCGGCGGCGAGCGCGCTGGCGGTGAACTGGGTGCTCAAGGACGGCGCGGGGCGGCTGGGGAAGATGCTGTTCGCGCGCCACGGGAAGCGGTTCGACTGCGACTTGAAACAGGTGCGAGGAGATTTGAATGGTAACGGGGGGGATTGGGGGAGGTATGACTTGGCTGCTGCATTCACCTGTGCACCGCTCTTCACCCAACAAGACTCCTCAACATCTCCTCTCCTTCCGCCCTCCGATTGCCCCCACCGCCCTCCACCAACCCCAACCGCACCCCACTTCTCAGCCTACTTATCCTCAAATCTCGTAGATGCGCTTTTGAGACATCTCATCACTCTCCACCCCCATCTCCCCCCCCTCCTCACCACCACATCCCACCGCACTCCACCGTACCCCATTCTTCCCCTACCTTAACTTGCAGATGCGCTTTCTGAGCAACATGCTGCTTGACTTCGGCTGTTGTGTGGAGCTCTGCACCATGGCCGCCCCCTCGCTCTTCCTCCCCCCACGCTTTCCTTGTAGATGCGCTCATAACTCTCCACCTTCCCCCTCTCCCCCACAACCGTACTCCACTGCCCCGCATTGACCCCCAACCGCACACCACCACACACCACCGCACCCCACTCCCCCCCACCAGATGCGCTTTCTGAGCAACATGCTGCTTGACTTCGGTTGCTGTGTCGAGCTCTGCACCATGGCCGCCCCCTCTTTCTTCCTCCCTCTCGCCTGCGTCGCCAACGTCTTCAAGGTGGGTGCAGTGCAGTTCAGGAGTTCAGGGTGGTGCAATCCGGTGCAGTGCGGTTGGGCGGGCTCAGTAGGTTGCCGCTGCTGTGTCGATCTCTGCACCATGGCTGCCCCCTCGTTCTTCCTCCCTCTCGCCTGTGTCGCCAACGTATTCAAGGTGGGTACAGTGCGGTTCAGTTCGGTGCAGTGCGGTTGGGTGCGCTCAGTAGGTGGTGGCTGCTGTGTCGAGCTCTGCACCATGGCCGCTCCCTCGTTCTTCCTCCCTCTCGCCTGTGTCGCCAATGTGTTCAAGGTGGGTACAGTGCGGTTCAGTTCGGTGCAATCTGGTGCAGTGCAGCTGGGCAGGCTCAGTAGGTTGTGACTCCACCATGGCCGTTCCCTCTCTCTTCCTCCCTCTCGCCTGTGTCGCTAACGTCGTCAAGGTGGGTGCGATGCGGTAAAGTGCAAAACAATCTGGTGCAGTGCGGTTCAGCGGGCTCTGTGAGCTGGGATGGAGCTATAAACCATGGTCACTCCCTCGCCATTCCTCCCAACGCACAATGAATCGCTTTTGAGAAATGTCAAAAGCACGCAGCTCCTATCAACCAACTTAAAAAACAAAACAGAAAAAAACAACTCTCAAAAGCCCCTGACGCCCTTCACCCTTTATCCCCTTCCTCCATCCCACCCCTTCTCCCCTCCCCTTCTTTCCCTTTCCCTTACCTCAGAACATCGGAGCTGTGACCAACACGTCTACCCGCGCGCCCATCTACAAGGCGATTGCATCAAACCCCCAACATACCCACCCCATCGTCCCAACAACCCCACACTCCCCCCTTCCCCCCCCCTTTCCCCCTTCCCTTCCTTTTCCCCGCTCCTCCCTCCCTCAGAACATCGGAGCTGTGACCAACACGTCCACCCGTGCGCCCATCTACAAGGCGTTTATGCTTACTGCCACGGACCCCTAAAGCCCCTGTGTCCTCCTCTTCTCCGTTCTCCCCGCCCGCTCCCTTGCAATTGCCTCCATCAGAACATCGGAGCCGTTACCAACACATCGACCCGTGCGCCCATCTACAAGGCGTTTGCTCGCCGAGAGAACATCGGAGACATTACGGCCAAAGGGGAGAGCATCAGCAACCTCGCTGACCTGGTGGGTACGGGGTGTGTGTGAGGCAGAGGGGGCGGGTGGGTGGATGGGTGGGTGGGTGGGTGGGGAAGGGGGGGATATGTGTCTGTTCCCGTAGGAGGCGTTTCAAGCAGAGGCGTGTGACCTTACTGCTGTGCTGACTATAATAAGAAATTATGTGTTACGTAATTTTTATGGACTATATGTATGTACTGTGTACACTGCATGCATGTGCAGATGGGAACAGGAGCCGGCATTCTCATTGCGAGGAGCAACCCTCACCTTGCCGCCACCTTCGCGCTCCTCTCTTGCGGCTACCTCTTTGCATCGTTCAATGAGGTGAGATGCCGAACAGGCAGACATATAGATGCAAACACATGCACATGCACAGACATACACATGCAAACACATGCGCATGCACAGACATACACATGCAAACACATGCGCATGCACAGACATACACATGCAAACACATGCACATGCACAGACATACACATGCAAACACATGCGCATGCACAGACATACACATGCAAACACATGCACATGCACAGACATACACATGCAAACACATGCACATGCACACACATGCACATGCACAGACATACACATGCAAACACATGCACATGCACAGACATACACATGCAAACACATGCACATGTACAGACATACACATGCAAACACATACACATGCACACACATGCACATGCACACACATGCACTTGCACGCACACATGCACACACACGCACACACACACACACACACACACACACACACACACACACACACACACACACACACACACACACACACACACACACACACACACACACACACACACACACACACACACACACACACACACACACACACACACACACACACACACACACACACACACACACACACACACACACACACACACACACACACACAAGCCTCTCCCTCCCCTTCCCGCACACACACAGACCACCTCCCCCCTTCCTATCCTTCGAGATGCCAGATTCACTCAGATTATTCCCCCCCTCTCCGTCTCCCTCACGCAGGTCAAGTCAGTGCAAGTACCCACCCTCAACCGCGCTCGCTTCGCCGTGGCGGTGCGCTCCTTCCTGGAAACGGGGCAGGTGCCATCGCTGGCAGAGGCCAACGCCAGGGAGCGCATCCATCCCATCCCATTCCCTCCATCCAAACCCCCCGCCCTACCCCCCCCCAGGTCAAGTCAGTGCAAGTGCCCACGCTCAACCGCGCTCGCTTCGCCGTGGCGGTGCGCTCCTTCCTGGAAACGGGGCAGGTGCCATCGCTGGCAGAGGCCAACGCCAGGGAGCGCATCCTCGTGCTGCCGTGGGCCGTGGACCGGCCCCTTGAGCTGGGCGCACGGGTTGCGGATTCCTTCAGAAGCCCTGCTGACCTGCTGGCATCACAGGCCATCTTCAAGGTATGCCTGCTGCTGCTTATGGGATTGGCACCACAGAGGGCAGGTGCCGTCCCTAGCAGAGGCCAACGCCAGGGAGCGCATCCTCGTGCTGCCGTGGGCTGTGGACCGGCCCCTTGAGCTGGGCGCACGGGTTGCGGACTCCTTCAGAAGCCCAGCTGACCTGCTGGCATCACAGGCCATCTTCAAGGTATGCCTGCTGCTGCTTATGGGATTGGCACCACAGAGGGCAGGTGCCGTCCCTAGCAGAGGCCAACGCCAGGGAGCGCATCCTCGTGCTGCCATGGGCGGTGGATCGGCCTTTGGAGCTGGGCGCACGGGTCGCGGATTCCTTCAGAAGACCTGCTGACCTGCTCTCCTCTCAACGGATCTTCAAGGTTTGTTCTGCTGGTTTTCCTCGTGTGGTGGAGTGGAGGTGAAAGGGAAATCGCCGCAGAGGGTTAGAGCAATGTGCAGCTTTTAGGTCAGAGGTCAACGCCAGGGAGCGCATCCTTGTGCTGCCTGCCATGGGCCGTGAATTGCCTGCCCCCTTGAATTGTGTGTGTGTGTGGGGGGGGGATGTTCTTAGAAGCCAGCTACGTTGATGGTACTTTTGAGAATTCTCAAAAGTACCATCAACGGAATTGCCCCCTTGAATTGTGTGTGTGTGTGGGTGGGGGATGTTCATAGAAACCCTGCTGACCCGCTCTTGTCACAACGGATATTGATACTGCTGTTCTTAGGTATGGATACTGCTGATGCGCCCTCTCACTCCTCCTTCATTGCCCTCTTATTTCCCCCTCCCCGCTCCTCCTTCCTTCTCCCTCACCCTCCCACCGACGCCTTCAAATCACCCGCTCTTCTTTCTCCCTCCCTTACCGTCCCACCCACGTCTGCACATCTCCCCGCCCTCTCCTCCCCCAACCTCCTACTCACCCCACGCACCCGACCCACCCCACCAATCCCCCCTGTCCTTCTCACCACCAGGACGAGCAGTACATTGTGACCTACCGCCCGAACCATCGGAGGGCGTACGTCGTCCTCAAGGAAGGAGCCAAATCAAGAGACGTGGTGCGGGCGGCCTTCCAGACGCACGTGCTGCTGCACCTGCTGGACCAATGGCGGCAGGACACCTGTCAGCAGCCGCTGCTGAGTCACCACCAGCCCCTGCTGACTCACCACCACTCACCAGCCTCCTCCCCCAAATCCTCCCACCTTTCCCCTGAATCCTCCGCCAAAGACCTAACTCCAAACAACTTCAGCCCAACAACCCTCACCTCAACCGACCTCTCCCCAACCTCTCTCACCAGCAGCTCTCCAGGCAGATGGGCACCCAAGGAGATCAGCCCCAAGGGCCCTCGGGCGTGGCAAAAGTCGCTCACATCAGCAGAGGTGGAGCGGGCAGTGGCAGAGAGCCTAGAGCTCACCAGAGCCCTGTTTGGGGCGTTTGAGGAGAGGGCTGCTGCTGAGGGATGGACCATGGCGGATTCGTTGCTCAACCCTGGGAAGGCCCGGGTGCTGACTGGTCCCCCGATGGCACGGATGGTGCATGCTGCTGCTGTTCCTTCTGCTGCTGCTGCTGCTGCTGCTGCTGCTGCTGGTAGTACTGGTGCTGGGGTTGCTTCTGCTGCTGCTGGAGCTTCCTATGCAGGCACATCTGTCGATGGTTGTGCTCCGGTGACTCTCCCGGTGACTCTCCCTCCGCTCTCTGCCTCTGGCCGGGTTGCTCTCAAGCCGTTTGCAGGTGCTGCTGCTTAAAGCCCGAGTTCTACATGGCAATTTTCAAGTTCAAGATTCCTGAATATGAATTCGCAAAAAACCATGTTACCACCCGAAGTGGAGGATATCCGTCGCGATCCAGAGGGGAGGTTTTGCAACGTTGTTCCATGATTGGCCAGCGACAAAACCAGTCATTCCGAGTAAAGGGTCGGAGGGCAATGGAGCACTGTTCACTTTCAGTAAACTTGAAAACCATGTTGTACTAAATGGCAGGCATATTGACAGCCTACGTTTACTTAGTTCACCCGTTTTTCACGCCCAAACTTTCTCCGTATCACTCCTTTTCTCCGTAGCAGCTGTATCAGTACAGCAGCCTATTTGGTGACAAATACGAACAGCCAATCATAAAACCAGTCGGAGATGTCCCATTTATACAATAACTAGAGAGCTCACATGCGTGTGCGGTGCGCACCCAACCGGATATAGTTACTCGCGCGACGCCAACACGTGCCTGCACGTCACAATTCCATCCACCCCCCCGGCGTCTAACCCGGGTTGCGCATCTAGACGGTCGCACGGTCGAGGGTCAAGTATATCCCTTCCGACTGTTGCTCTCCCTTCCGCCGTCGCTCTCCCTTCCGCCCGTCGCCCTTCTTTCCCCCTCGTCGCCCTGCCTTCCGTCCGTCGCCCACCCTTGTTCCCGTCGCCCTCCCTTCCCGTCGCCCTCCCTTCCCGTCGCCCTCCCTTCCCGTCGCCCTCCCTTCCCGTCGCCCTCCCTTCCCGTCGCCCGCGCTTCTTCCCGTCGCCCTCCCTTCCCGTCGCCTTCCCTTCCCGTCGCCCGCGCTTCTTCCCGTCGCCCTCCCTTCCCGTCGCCCTCCCTTCCCGTCGCCCTCCCTTCCCGTCGCCCTCCCTTCCCGTCGCCCTCCCTTCCCGTCGCCCTCGCTTTCCCCGTCGCCCTGCCATCCACTCCCCGTCGCCCTCGCCTTCCCTCCCGTCTCCCTTCCCATCTCGCACACTTGTCACCCTCCCTTTTCTCTCCCTACTCCCTCTTTTCCCTCCCTCCAATAATCGCCTTCCTTCCCCCAACTTATACCCCTTCCCTGCTTCCCCCCATCCCCTGCGCTGCTTTCCCCCATCCTCTTCATTCTTTCCCCGTATCCCCAGCCCTGCTTCCCCCCATCCCCTTCCCTGCTTCCCCCCATCTCCTTCCCTTCTTCCCCCCATCTCCGTCCCTGCTTCCCCCCATCCCCCTCCCTGCTTCCCCCCATACCCCTTCCCTGCTTCCCCCCATCCCCTTCCCTGCTTCCCCCCATCCCCTTCCCTGCTTCCCCCCATCCCCTTCCCTGCTTCCCCCCATCCCCTTCCCTGCTTCCCCCCATCCCCTTCCCTGCTTCCCCCCATCCCCTTCCCTGCTTCCCCCCATCCCCTTCCCTGCTCCCCCCCATCTCCATCCCTGCTTCCCCCATACCCCTCCCTGCTTCCCCCCATCCCCCTCTCTGCTTCCCCCCATACCCCTCCCTGCTTCCCCCCATCCCCTTCCCTGTTCCCCCCCATCCCCTTCCCTGCTTCGCCCCCATCCCCCTCCCTGCTTCCCCCCATCCCCTTCCCTGCTCCCCCCCATCCCCTTCCCTGCTCCCCCCCATTCCCTTCCCTGCTTCCCCCCATCCCCTTCCCTGCTTCCCCCCATCCCCTTCCCTGCTCCCCCCCATCTCCATCCCTGCTTCCCCCCATACCCCTCCCTGCTTCCCCCCATCCCCCTCTCTGCTTCCCCCCATACCCCTCCCTGCTCCCCCCCATTCCCCTCCCTGCGTCCCCCCATACCCCTTCCCTGCTTCCCCCCATCCCCTTCCCTGCTTCCCCCCATCCCCTTCCCTGCTTCCCCCCATCCCCTTCTCTGCTTCCCCCCATCCCCTTCCCTGCTTCCCCCCATCCCCTTCCCTGCTTCCCCCCATCCCCTTCCCTGCTTCCCCCCATCCCCTTCCCTGCTTCCCCCCATCCCCCTCCCTGCTTCCCCCCATACCCCTTCCCTGCTTCCCCCCATCCCCTTCCCTGCTTCCCCCCATCCCCTTCCCTGCTTCCCCCCATCCCCTTCCCTGCTTCCCCCCATCCCCTTCCCTGCTCCCCCCCATCTCCATCCCTGCTTCCCCCCATACCCCTCCCTGCTTCCCCCCATCCCCCTCTCTGCTTCCCCCCATACCCCTCCCTGCTTCCCCCCATTCCCCTCCCTGCGTCCCCCCATACCCCTTCCCTGCTTCCCCCCATCCCCTTCCCTGCTTCCCCCCATCCCCTTCCCTGCTTCCCCCCATCCCCTTCTCTGCTTCCCCCCATCCCCTTCCCTGCTTCCCCCCATCCCCTTCCCTGCTTCCCCCCATCCCCTTCCCTGCTTCCCCCCATCCCCTTCCCTGCTCCCCCCAATCTCCATCCCTGCTTCCCCCCATCCCCCTCTCTGCTTCCCCCCATACCCCTCCCTGCTTCCCCCCATCCCCTTCCCTGTTCCCCCCCATCCCCTTCCCTGCTTCCCCCCCATCCCCCTCCCTGCTTCCCCCCATCCCCTTCCCTGCTCCCCCCCATCCCCTTCCCTGCTCCCCCCCATTCCCTTCCCTGCTTCCCCCCATCCCCTTCCCTGCTTCCCCCCATCCCCTTCCCTGCTCCCCCCCATCTCCATCCCTGCTTCCCCCCATACCCCTCCCTGCTTCCCCCCATCCCCCTCTCTGCTTCCCCCCATACCCCTCCCTGCTTCCCCCCATCCCCTTCCCTGTTCCCCCCCATCCCCTTCCCTGCTTCCCCCCCATCCCCCTCCCTGCTTCCCCCCATCCCCTTCCCTGCTCCCCCCCATCCCCTTCCCTGCTCCCCCCCATTCCCTTCCCTGCTTCCCTCATCCCCTGCCCTGCTTCCCCATGTCCCCTGCCCTGCTTCCCCCAATCCCCTTCCCTGCTTCCCCCCATCTCCTTCCCTTCTTCCCCCCATCTCCGTCCCTGCTTCCCCCCATCCCCCTCCCTGCTTCCCCCCATACCCCTCCCTGCTTCCCCCCATCCCCTTCCCTGCTTCCCCATGTCCCCTTCCCTGCTTCCCCCCATCCCCTTCCCTGCTTCCCCATGTCCCCTTCCCTGCTTCCCCCATCCCCTTCCCTGCTTCCCCCCATCCCCTTCTCTGCTTCCCCCCATCCCCTTCCCTGCTTCCGCCCATCCCCTTCCCTGCTTCCCCCCATCCCCTTCCCTGCTTCCCCATGTCCCCTTCCCTGCTTCCCCCCATCCCCCTCCCTGCTTCCCCATGTTCCCTTCCCTGCTTGCCCCCATCCCCTTCCCTGCTCCCCCATGTCCCCTTCCCTGCTTTCCCCCATCCCCCTCCCTGCTTCCCCCCATCCCCTTCCGTGCTTTTCCCCCTCCCGTTTCCATCGCTTTCCCCCTCCCGTCGCCCTCGCTCTCCCCCTCCCGTCGACCTCGCTTTCCCCCTGCTCACCCCCATTCCCCCTGCTCACTCTCTTTCCCTCTGCTCACTCTCTTCCCCCTTTCTCACTCTGCCCCCCCTTCCTCACTCTGTTTCCCCCTGCTCACTCTCTCCTGCTCACTCTAATCCCCCCTGTTCTGTTCCCCCCTGCTCTATTCCCCCCCGCTCTATTCCCCCCTGCTCTATTCCCCCCTGCTCTATTCCCCCCTGCTCTATTCCCCCCCTGCTCTATTCCCCCCTGCTATATTCCCCCCTGCTCTATTCCCCCTTGCTCTATTCCCCCCTGCTATATTCCCCCCTGCTCTATTCCCCCCTGCTCTGTTCCCCCCTGCTATATTCCCCCCTGCTCTATTCCCCCCTGCTCTGTTCCCCCCTGCTCAATACCCCCCTGCTCTATTCCCCCCTGCTCTATTCCCCCCTGCTCAATACCCCCCTGCTCTATTCCCCCCTCCTCTATTCCCCCCTGCTCTATTCCCCCCTGCTCTGTTCCCCCCTGCTCTATCCCCCCCTCCTCTATTCCCCCCTGCTCTATTCCCCCCTGCTCTATTTCCCCCTGCTCAATACCCCCCTGCTCTATTCCCCCTTGCTCTATTCCCCCCTGCTCTATTCCCCCCTGCTCTGTTCCCCCCTGCTCAATACCCCCCTGCTCTATTCCCCCCTGCTCTATTCCCCCCTGCTCAATACCCCCCTGCTCTATTCCCCCCTCCTCTATCCCCCCCCTGCTCTATTCCCCCCTGCTCTGTTCCCCCCTGCTCTATTCCCCCCTCCTCTATTCCCCCCTGCTCTATTCCCCCCTGCTCTATTCCCCCCTGCTCTGTTCCCCCCCGCTCTATTCCCCCCTCCTCTATTCCCCCCTGCTCTATTCCCCCCTGCTCTCTCCCCCCTTGCTCTCTCTCTTCTCACCTCCTCACTCCGTTTCCCCCTTGCTCACTCGGTTTTCCCATTGCTCATTCTCTTTCCCCCTGCTCACTCTCTTTCCCCGTTGCTCATTCTCTTCCCCGCTGCTCATTCTCTTTCCCCTTGCTCATTCTGTTTCCCCCTGCTCATTCTGTTTCCCCCCTGTTCACTCCCTTCCCCCATGCCCACCCTCTTTCCCCCTGCTCACTCCCTTTCCCCCCTTCTCACTCTCTCCCCCCCTCCTCACTCTCTTTCCCCCCTGCTCAATGTCTCCCCTGCACTCTGTTTTTTCCTGCTCATTCTGTACAGGTCCCCAGCACCAGGTGTAGGGAGGGATCCACAAGTCCTGCTTTTTTGCTGCTGTGTATGCAGACAAGAGTGGGAAAAGACATATTATTGAGTAACTTGGTTCTTTTTTTACTAGATTGTTGCACTTCGTAGGTGGTCAATGGTCACTCTACTCCATGTATCAAAATTTAGTTATAATAATAAGCATACAACATTCCCACAGCCATGTATCATACCTAGGGGAACTATCAAACAACCAACATTCCAGCCGGTAAGCATACAAAAGAATGACAACTGACAAGGAAGCAACACGAAGAGGAAGAAATAAAAAGACACTCCTGGAACGGTAGGAGACAAACAGAAGGACGACCAGGGGAAAAGAGGGACAGAGAAACGGAGGAAGGGACGTATGGAGGAAGAGAGGGACAGAGGAAGGGAAGGATGGATGGGGAGGGAGGACGGGGGAAAGGGAGGACAGGCAGCACCACGTCTGCCTATGCTGTGTGACTCTGCCCACCGCCATCCACCCACAGCGCCCCAAGCAGCTCCCTGGTGCAGAAAAGCACAAGGGATGAAGAGGTGCCGCTGGGCCGAGGGCGGTGTGGGAAACACCTGGAGGGGAGGGTGAGAGGATCGGATGGGGAAAGGACGGATGGGGAGGGATGAGGAGAGGATGGATGGGAAGAGGAGGGAAGTGGTGAGGTGGGATGGGCGGATGGGGAGAGGACGGGAGGGGGTGGGGAGAAGAGGGGATGGTGAGAGGAGGGGATGGGGAGAGGAGGGGACGCGGTGACGAGGGAAGGGGAAAGAAGCGGATGTGTATAGGAGGAGATGGGGTGAGGAGGAGATGGGGTTAGGAGTATGGTGAATGGGGTATGGTGGAATGGTGAAAGTAGGCATGGGGAATGGAAGGATGGGGAACGGAGGGAGAGTGAATGACGGGATGGGGAAAGGAGGTCTGGGGAAACGAGGAAAGGGGGATGGGAAGTAGGATGGCAGGGCGAGAGGAAGGGATTGAGAGAAGGGGGGAGGAAGGGCGGAAGAGGGGGATGGGAAGTAGGAAGAGGTGGGAAATGGCGACGTGTGACGATGCCACGGGGTGCGGCGGAGATGGGGTGAGGCATGGGGAGATGAGGGATGGATGGATGAGCGATGGAGAGGTGAGGGATGGGGAGATGAGGGATGGGGAGGTGAGAGATGGGGAGGTGAGGGATGGGGAGATGAGGGATGGGGAGATGAGGGATGGGGAGGTGAGAGATGGGGAGATAAGGGATGGGGAGATGAGGGATGGGGAGGAGAGGGAAGGGGAGATGAGGGATGGGGAGATGAGAGATGGGGAGGTGAGGCATGGGGAGGTGAGGGATGGGGAGATGAGGCATGGGGAGACGAGGGATGGAGAGATGAGGGAAGGGGAGATGAGGGATGGGGAGATGAGGGATGGGGAGACGAGGGATGGGGAGACGAGGGAAGGGGAGATGAGGGATAGGGAGACGAGGGAAGGGGAGATGAGGGATGGGGAGACGAGGGAAGGGGAGATGAGGGATGGGGAGACGAGGGAAGGGGAGATGAGGGATGGGGAGACGAGAGTGTGGGGTGTGGCGTAGCAGGAGGAAGGAGAGTTGCAAGGCGCGGGGAGTCCCCATTCTCGTTAGAGGGGAGGGAGCGTGGGCGACGGGAGGGAGGGAGCGGTAGTAGTGACGGATGGGTGTGCGCGTACATGACGTAAGGGGAGTGAGCATGAGCGATGGGAGGGGAGTGAGCGTGGGCGACGGGAGGGGAGTGAGCGTGGGCGACGGAAGAGAGTGAGGAGGGGCGAAAGAGGCGTCGCGCAAAGGCGACGGGAGGGGAGGGAGCGTGACCGTGCGTCAGGAAGGAAGCGTGGGCGACGGGAGGGATTGATCATCCTCTTTGGAGGGGAGTGCGCGAAGGCGACGGGAGGGGAGTGCGCGAAGGCGATGGGAGGGGAGTGCGCGAAGGCGACGGGACGGGTGTGCGCGAAGGCGACGGGAGGGAAGTGCGCGAAGGCGACGGGAGGGGAGTGCGCGAGGGCGATGAGAGGGAGTGAGCTATGGCGATGGAGGGAAGTGTGAGACATTGACGCGAGAATGGTCGCGTGGGCGACGGAGGGGAGTGAACATAGGCGACGGCGATGAGTAGCGTGCATTTTCAAACCAATCTACACACATGGCTTCGCTTTCTAACCCCCTCCAAGCACCAAACTCGTGGTGCAGTGTCGCACAGTTGGGTGACGAATGCTGAAGCTCGTCGCTGCCTGGTTTCGCTTTCGCACCTGTTCAGCTCTCGAAATGTTTTTTTTATGCCTTTCGCGAACACACTTAAAGCCCCCGCGTCACTGGTGCAAAAACCATGCTGACCTCGGGCTTTAAATGAGCTCAATGCATATTATTTTCCGAGATACTGTGGCGTTTTTGTAGTGCCATCTTGGCGTTAGGTAATCTAGATGGTTTGGGGAATAAACATAAAAGATTGAGGTTGCACTAGGCAATTGTTAGTCTCCTACCATTTCTCCATGCTGTAGTTATTCCTGCGCCAGTTGATGGATAAATTGCCAGTTAAGAATAAAAAAACAGTTAAACTCACCCAGTCATAATGACAGATTTGCTGGCTGCTCCTAGTTTTGACATGTCTCAAAACTTGTGAAACAGTAATGGGGAAGCTACTTTCAACATGTGTATGCCAACGCTGCAGCAGTTGCCTCCAACCAACTCACTTCTACCGTACCATCCCGCCCCTCCGTGGACTTCGTTTCACCCCATTCTCAACGCTGGTGGCAACTTTTATTCTTTCTTCCCCTCCTCCAACTCATCGTCCAATGAGAACACGTCTGTGCTCACTGCTTGCTTCTTCTCTGCCCCTCCTGCACCACCACCAACACCGCTACTACCAGCAACCGACACTGCCGTAAGGGCTACCTCCTCCTCCCCCAACTCCTCTGGCACATCCTCCGAGTATGCGTATCTGTATCAATGGGAGGGGTGAGTGAGAAGGAGTGCGGAAGAGTGGGAGGGAGTGAGAAGCAAGTGGGTAAGCATGAACCACCACCAGTGCCACCAGCAGCTGACACTGCCGTGAGGGCCACCTCCTCCTCCCCCAACTCCTCTGGCACATCCTCAGAGTATGCGTATCTGTACCGAGAGGGGAGTGTGTGGGGAGTGATAAGCAGAGACGCAGGATAGCAGGGCAACAGCAGCATGAGCACAGAATTGAAGGCCCACCCCATCTCAACACTCAGAGCATGGGAGCAGGGCTTACCTTGTGGCGTTTCTCGAGGGCGACTTTTGAGGTGCCTCAAAAGTCAGAGCAGCAAGGCAACAGCAGCAGCAGCATGAGCACAGGATTGAAGGTCCACCCCATCTTAACACTCAGAGCACGGGAGCAGGGCTTACCTGGTGGCGTTTTTTGAGGGCGACCAGGCAGATGAGACAGACAGAGCACATGCCAGAAGCACCCAGTGCAACGACAAGGAGACTAAACCCTGAACCATCCATACCTGTTGGCGTTTCTTGATGGAGCCCAGCGCACACAGATGAGGCAGAGCAGCAGGAGCGTGAGCACATGCCAGAAGCAGCACGGGCACATGTTGTTTACTCAGGAAAAGAAACCTAAACTTCCCTCCAAATCCACCCCCTCCCTACCTGGTGGCGTTTCTAGAGGGCGCCCAGAGCACGCAGATAAGGCAGAGCAGCATGAGCGTGAGCACATGTGTGTGGGTGTGGTTCCATCCCTATGACCTGCTACTTCCCATCAAGCCCTCACCCACCTGGTGGCGTTCCTAGAGGGCGCCCATAGCACGCAGATGAGGCAGAGCAGCATGAGCGTGAGCACATGCCAGAAGCACCCGGTCCCATGAGTGGCACAGCGTGACCACCCCACAGCACTCGCAGGCTTACCTGGTGGCGTTTCTTGAGGGCGCCCATAAGACGCAGATGAGGCAGAGCAGCATGAGCGTGAGCACATGCCAGAAGCACCCGGTGATCCAGTCGCCCTCCCATTGCTCGTTGTACGGGTCTGATGTGCGCAGGTACATCTGGGGTAGGGAGATATGGAGGAAGGGATGGATGGAGAAACTCGTTATAAGGTGACTGGTCGCCCTCACACTGCTCGTTGTACGGGTCTGATGTGCGCATGTACATCTGGGGTGGGGGGATATGGGGGAAGGGATAAATATTTCAATGCGTGCCTCATTTCTCTCCACTACTCACTTCACATCCGTTTGACCTCCGTTTTGACCTCGATTCACCTCCTCTGATAGTTTTTTACCTTGTCTGACCTCCTACCACCTCCTACACGAACAGCAACTGGCATCTCACCTCGAAGTCAATCCAGGCCACCGACACCAGCACAGCGATCGCCAGCCCGTCCGTAAACTTCCGATACAGCTCCAGCTTTTATGAGTCATGCGCTTGGCCTGCAGCTGAGCAAGCGTCTGTACACAACAGCAACTGGAATCTCACCTCGAAGCCTATCCAGGCAACCGACACGAGCACAGCAATCGCCAGCCCGTTGGTAAACTTGCGGTACAGCTCCAGCTTGTGCGTCGTGCGCTTGGCCTGCCCGCATACCTATTTACAGTCTGCACACATACCTCTTTACACAACAGCAAATGGAATCTCACCTCAAAGCCTATCCAGGCAACCGACACGAGCACAGCGATCGCCAACCCATTGGTAAATTTCCGGTACAGCTCGAGCTTGTGCGTCGTGCGCTTGGCCTGCAGCTGCGCCAGCGTCTTAGAGAGCGCGGAGAAGATCCAGAGGATGAAGATGGCATCGAGCACCGCCACCGGCAGCACCAGGAACAGCCTCTCGCTGCTCGTGAGATCGTCAATCGCCCCCACGTTCTGCATCACGTCTAGAAGCTCCACCGCTGCAAAGTACCCCACCCCTAGTGCCACCACCTTTCCAGAAAGCCCGCCGAGAGTGGGACGAACGACGCCGAACCCCATCGAGACAACCAGGACCAGCACGCGCGAGACAGCCTTGCGGATGGCGCCGAGAGTCGCCGCCCAGATGGTGGTGCCGATGGGGCGGAAGCCGGAGGAGTTGAAATGGGCGAAGTCGAAGAACCAGGTGGCCATTTCGGCCATGGAGAGCACGAGCACTGCCGTGATGCACGTGTGGATCTGCAGCCCGTCCTGCCAGAAGCGGAAATACTGCGCAAACCACACAATGCCCAGGATGGTGTATACCTGGCGGTGAGGAAACAGGGGGGAATGGGGCGAGGTGCAGCGGGACATCGGTGGTGGGAGAGAGGGAAGGGGCGGGAGGGTGGGGGAAGAGGGGAGGCGTTGAGGTGAACGGAGGAGTTGAAATGGGCGAAGTGGAAGAACCAGGTGGCCATTTCGGCCATGGAGAGCACGAGCACTGCCGTGATGCACGTGTGGATCTGCAGCCCGTCCTGCCAGAAACGGAAATACTGCGCGAACCACACAACGCCCAGGATGGTGTACACCTGGTGTGGGGAAACAAGGAGAGTTTGGGGGGAAGAAGTTGTGAGTCGACTCAAAACCCTTCCTGCCAGAAACGGAAGTACTGCGCGAACCAGATGATGCCCAGGATGGTGTACACCTGGTTGACGGGAAACAAGGGAGAGGGGGGAGGTGTTGGGGTCGTGGGGAGAGAGGGGGAGGGGGGGGGCGGAAGGTTGGGGGAAGAGGGGAGGCGCTGTGGTGAGTCGAGGGGAAGCGTTATTGTGAGGGGAGAGGAGGCAAATTCGAAGAACCAGATGGCCATTTCGGCCATGGAGAGCACGAGCACTGCTGTGATGCAGAAGCATCACTGTAACTCCAGTTGCCTCAAACAGCAAAATCTCATCACACTTTCATAAAAAGTTACAGAAGTACACAACTCACAACAGCAACCAGCACTCACCACAGCCATGATCTCGTAGAAAAGGAGGTATGGCGCCATCATGCCAGGCAGATACCCGTCGGGGTTCTTCCACACAGTTGTCCCCGTTACAGACACGCCAGCCATGCTCTTGTCGCAGATGACGAACCAGAGGTAGTACATGCCCGTCATCTTGATGCGAATCTCTGATGGCGCTGCCACCACTGTGGTGTCGTTGCCAAAGAAATTGATCTCCACCACCCGAGGCCACTGGGGTGGAAGAGTTGGGAGGGGGGTAGAAGAGGAAGTAAGGACGAAGATAGGCTACTCAAGCAGCCACTGTGGTTTCGTTGCCGAAGAGAATGATCTCCACCACACGCGGCCACTAGGGGGGGAGTGGTGGGGGGGAGGAGACACGCCAGCCATGCTCTTGTCGCAGATGACGAACCAGAGGTAGTACATGCCCGTCATCTTGATGCGAATCTCTGATGGCGCTGCCACCACTGTGGTGTCGTTGCCAAAGAAATTGATCTCCACCACCCGAGGCCACTGGGGTGGAAGAGTTGGGAGGGGGGTAGAAGAGGAAGTAAGGACGAAGATAGGCTACTCAAGCAGCCACTGTGGTTTTGTTGCCGAAGAGAATGATCTCCACCACACGCGGCCACTAGGGGGGGAGTGGTGGGGGGGAGGAGACACGCCAGCCATGCTCTTGTCGCAGATGACGAACCAGAGGTAGTACATGCCCGTCCTCTTGATGCGAATCTCCGATGGCGCTGCCACCACTGTGGTGTCGTTGCCAAAGAAATTGATCTCCACCACCCGAGGCCACTGGGGGGGGGGGTTGCGGGGGAGGGGGGAAGAAGAGGAAGCGAGGACGGAGACAGGTTACTCAAGCAACCACTGTGGTTTCGTTGCCGGAGAGAATGGCCTTCACCACGCCAGCCATGCTCTTGTCACAGATGACGAACCAGAGGTAGTACATGCCCGTCCTCATGATGCGAATCTCCGATGGCGCTGCCACCACTGTGGTGTCGTTGCCAAAGAAATTGATCTCCACCACCCGAGGCCACTGGAGTCGAAGAGGGGAGGGGCGGGGAGGGTGGGGGGGAAAGAGGGAAGTGAGGTTGAAGACAGGTTACGCAAGCAACCATTGTGGTTTCCTTGCCAAATTTGTTGATGATCATCACATGAGGTCCTGAAGAGAGCGGGGATTGTGGAAAGTGAGGGAGCATTGAAGAAAAGGAGGCCCCGATACAGAAGGCCATTGGGGGGTCATTGGGGAAAGGGGACGCGTGAGCGGGAGAGGGAGAGGGAGGGGATTGAGGGAAACACTCACTGAGGTGCCGTTGCCAAGGGCCACCACACGATGCCTTCTCGCCTCATCAGCTGCCCTTTTCTTCGCACGGATTTCTCGCCTTACCTGGTGGTCACCATCCCTTGGCCGCACGATGACGTGGCCGGGGTTGCACCCAGTCCGTTGCACCAGCTCGGGAGTGCAGGCATGGTCCGAGATGCTTCAAGCTACACCACACCGCACTATACCCTTTTAAACACTTCACCAGGATGACCCTACAAGGCCTTCTCTCCTTACCTGGTGGTCACCATCCCTTGGACGGACAATGACGCGGCCGGGATTGCAACCATTACGTTGCACCAACTCAGGAGTGCATGAATGGTCCGAGATGCATCAAGCTGAACCACACCACACTATACCCTTAAATACACTGCACCAGGATGAACCCAGTGCGTTGCACCAGCTCAGGAGTGCATGAATGGTCCGAGATGCATCAAGCTGAACCACACCACACTATACCCTTAAATACACTGCACCAGGATGAACCCAGTGCGTTGCACCAGCTCAGGAGTGCATGAATGGTCCGAGATGCATCAAGCTGAACCACACCACACTATACCCTTAAATACACTGCACCAGGATGAACCCAGTGCGTTGCACCAGCTCAGGAGTGCATGAATGGTCCGAGATGCATCAAGCTGAACCACACCACACTATACCCTTAAATACACTGCACCAGGATGAACCCAGTGCGTTGCACCAGCTCAGGAGTGCATGAATGGTCCGAGATGCATCAAGCTGAACCACACCACACTATACCCTTAAATACACTGCACCAGGATGAACCCAGTGCGTTGCACCAGCTCAGGAGTGCATGAATGGTCCGAGATGCATCAAGCTGAACCACACCACACTATACCCTTAAATACACTGCACCAGGATGAACCCAGTGCGTTGCACCAGCTCAGGAGTGCATGAATGGTCCGAGATGCATCAAGCTGAACCACACCACACTATACCCTTAAATACACTGCACCAGGATGAACCCAGTGCGTTGCACCAGCTCAGGAGTGCATGAATGGTCCGAGATGCACCTTCACCGCAGCCGAGTGGAGCATCTGTGCGTCCATGCGCCTAGGCCTCCCCATACAGCAGCTGATAGTCGCCGGCAAGTGCGCGTGTGGGTTTGAGTTTGCTGATCCCTCTGACCCGCATCATGCCCTTCGCTGCAAGTACCAGTACGCACCTTCTCGTGTTCACGACGCGGTTAAGTTTATGGTGGCGAAGATAGCTAAATGGGCGGGTGGGGTCGTGACCATCGAAGACGACACGTTGCTGCCAGGGAAGAGGGTGGATGTGGCGGTGCTGAGACTGAGGGAGGGGGAGGAGCATGCGTTGGAGGTTAGTGTGGTGGACCCTATCTCGTTGTCCGCGCAGCACCATGGACAGATTGGTCGCAAGGTGGGTTTTGCCGCTAGAGAGAGGGAAAAGCGGAAGGCGGCGGACTACAAATTGCTTCTGCAGCGACATAGGGGAGTGCAGTTTACACCTCTCATTGCTGAGACATGGGGTTGCCTGGGGGGGAGTTTTGGGCGGTGGCTTAAGAAACAGGGCGACGCGCAGATTGAGGTAGCGAAGACGAAAGGGGCGGCGAGAGCTACGGGAAAAGGTTTCTCGGCTTACTTGCTTGGATCACTTAAAGCGGCCATAGGTGTGGCTTTGCAGCGGGCTCAGGCGCGTGTGATCTTGTTGCGCGCGGCGTCGATGATGAGAGGCCCAGAGGCTGTTTCGGTGGAGCGGGAGGATTTTGAGGAGGAGATGGGATGGGATGCTCCGTGGGCGGATGCGCCCTATTTGGTGGACATGCGGGTTTAGAGGGTGGGTTTAGGTGAGGGGGGTGGGGGGTTTGGTTAGATGGGGCGTATTGTTGGGGTGTCTCGTTGGGGTGTCTCGTTGGGGTGTCTCGTTGGGGGTATCTCGTTGGGGTGTCTTTTGGGGTTCCTTATGTGCTGTTCTACTGGGGTGTTCTTGAGGCTGCGTTTTCCGTTTTTCTTTCATTTAAAAATACACTGTAATTCAAGGAAAGCCTGAAGTACAAACACGTCAAAAAAAAAAAAAAAATATGCGCTCGGCATTCCCAGTAGGTTTTTCGTTTTTGACCGAATGCGGTCGGCATTCCGGTGAATTTCGTCTTCAAATAAAAAGTAACACTATAAAATGTGGACATACACTTTAGTCCAACTAGGTAGACAGTTTTACCTAAAAAAGGAAGGTCTCGGGTTCGAAGCCAGCCCGCCAGCCCGCCAGCTTGTACTCGTGATTGAGTCTCACGGTGTTGCGTCTGCGTTTCGCGTCTGGGGCTGTCTTGCTCACGTCCGTGACCTTCTTGCGGACAAGCTCTCAGCCCCCACTCTCCCGTGTGTCTTCCTTGGTTTCCTCCTCGACGCCCATGACTGGCTGTTCTACTACCCTTTGCTTCCTTCACCGAGGTACTTCCCCTCCCTCCGCTCTTTCACTTCCCCTCTGCTCGCTCCCGTGCCCTCGCATCCTGCCCCTTCTGGTGTGTCGCACGTCACCAACATTCCCTCGGTTGGGCCTGTGGGGTAGTCTGCTGACCTTGGAGGTCCGGGACGTGGGGGTGCGCCTCCTATGTCAGCACCTTCGTCGCCTCCCCCCCCATCCACCACCCCCGCCGCAGCAGTTGCCGCAGTCTCTGCCATCACCGACGTCGTCCTCGCAGTCGCCGCGGCAGCCTTTGTTGCCGCCGCAACCGTCGTCGCCGGTGCAGCCAATCGCTGTTGACTCTGGGGGTCGTTGGGAGTGCTGGTTCTGGGGATGCTGCCACTGTGGGTGTCGGCTCTGGGGTGTGGTTTTGGGGGTGTTGACGATGTGAGTGTTGGTTTTGGGTGTGCTGCCGCAGGAAATACTAATACTTGGAGTGTCGCGAGCGCAGGACGTCCGGCACCGCATCAGCCGCAGCCGTTGCCAGCAGCCGTCGCAGCAGCAGTCGTCGCCTGTGCCTGCACTTCGCCTGCTTGGTCTTTCTTTTGGCTCGACTTACCGACCACCTGCTCCTCCCCCACCGTCTCTCTCACTCTATAGTCCCATGTTTCCTCCCCCGGACTCGTCTCCGGCTCGTCTTCATCCGCATTCACAGCCGACTCCTCCTTTGTCTCATGACCTGCCTCCTCTCACCCACCACTGGGTCAGTCGTCCTTCTCATGATCGCCTCGTGTCTCCTCTTCCTAGTGTCCACTCTATGCTCCTCCGTTCTCGCGTCTCTCGTGTTCCGCCACCCTCTGCTTTCCCGTCGCCTTCTTAGTTGTGGCGGGAGCTGTTTGAGTTGGCGGTGGCGGTAATGCAACCTGCGGCGCGTCCTTTGTCCTTCACCCCCCCCCGAGCATGATCCTGATGCGGTGCGCCTGGCTCGCTGCCGCACCAGGTGCAAAGTGGGAGAATGGAGTCGGGGTTTGGCGTGTCTTACTGCCGGTAGCATCGCTCAGCCCTCTCAGCACATGGTGGACGCGCTGCGAGCGAAACACCCATCGAGCGAGACTGCCATTCCGGAGTGGTTGCAGGAGGAGATAGTTGAGCCTTCACTTATCCCGCAGCTCTCAGTGGAGGTACTTGGTCAGGCGATCCACTCTGCGGCTAGGGCGTCGGCACCAGGACCGTCGGGGTGGGTGACGGAGCACCTGCGCGACACTTTTCTCTCTGAGCCCGCATACCTGCCTCACCTGCTAGGGGTCTTCACCCAGTGGACCAAGGGAGAGGTAGCGGAGCGCGTGCGACCCTGGCTCACTGCGTCCAACCTTGTGGGCCTGTCGAAGCCGAATGGTGACGTTCGCCCGGTGGCTATAGGCGAGGTGCTCCCCCGCATACTATCTCGGGCCCTATGCATCGTGCTTCGGCCGAAGATGATGTCGCACTTTGCGCCGTGTAACCAGCTTGGAGTCGGATCCAGGTCGGGAGTGGAAGTCCTCGCACATGCCTTTCGTTCTGCCATCTCTACTCGCCCGTCATGGTGCGCGCTTCAAATTGACGTGGCGAACGCTTTCAACTCCTTCCATCGGCGGGAAATGTTTGAAGGTCTTCGACAGTCGCCTTTTGCGGGTTTGATCCCATTCCTGCGTGTCTTCTACGGCACTCCTAGCAACCTCTACCTCCGTGCGGGCCCCTTCGTCGAAGCTTTGGCTTCAGAGCGAGGATCGAGGCAAGGGGACCCATTGGGGCCGTTTCTGTTCGCGTTCACATAGCAGCTGGTTATGGAGCCAACCAAACAAGAGTTCGCCGACCTACTCTTTCTCAGCTACGCCGATGATACGTACATCTTGGGGCCTAGGGAGCGGGTGCTAGCAGCTTATGAGGTCTTGCGGGAACGACTGGGCGGGCTTGGTCTGGAGGTGCAGCCGCATAAGTGCAAGCTTTGGGAGCGAGGGGTGGACCAGGAGGGAGAGGAGAGGAACGAGACCGTCCCGCCCGGCATGCAGCAAACATGGACGGGGCTCACCGTAGTGGGGGTTCCTATTGGGGAGGAGGAGTGGGAGGTGGCCAGCTTGCGAGGCCGGCTGATGCAGCTGCACGCACCTGTCCCTTGGCTTCCTTTGCTCGACCACCCACAGATTGCGCCCATCTGCTGGCGATCGCAGTGTCAGCGCGCCCGATTTACCTCACAAGGACGATGCCTCCACGGCCTGAGGTTGTGGAGGCTTTCCGCGACTGGGACACGAAGCTTGAGGATTGTTTTGAGCAGCTGTTTCCAGATAGCACCTGGGATCATGATTCGGCAAGGTCGCAGATGGCCCGTCTACAGCTGCACCTTCCAGCCAGACTTGGAGGGTTTGGCATTCGATCTGCAGCTGACCTTAGCCCTCTGTCGTACGCATGTGGTTGGTGCCAGGCAGTGAGCGATGTGGCTCGGATGGGGGTGGCAGCGGAGGAGCGGATGTTTGAGGAGTTTTTCCGCACGCTCGAGGCTACGACCTTGCTGGATCCTTGGTTTGCGAGAGCAGTGGAGCTGCTGCCACAGTCGGTCAGGCAGGAGATGCCACCCCTAGCCTTATGCACCGCTGACCCCCCTGTGCTGCTTTTCCCCACACAACACCGTCGCCTAGCGGTTGAGAGTCTGCAGACTCTTCGGGGTATGGCCCACGACGACGCCACCCTGGCCCGTTTGACATCCCTTCAGGGCCCGGGGGCAGGGGCGTGGGTCTCCGCCGTCCCTTCGCACGAAGAGGCTACCTTCACCGCAGCCGAGTGGAGCATCTGTGCGTCCATGCGCCTAGGCCTCCCCATACAGCAGCTGATAGTCGCCGGCAAGTGCGCGTGTGGGTTTGAGTTTGCTGATCCC